CGTGTTGAGGACATGCTGAAATGAGTACAGTTACGCACACGCGCCTACTTCTGGCTGAGCAGATGTTAGTGGAAGGTTCGTAAGGCTGGAGAGCAGTTTTCAAAAGCATATAGGTGATTGCAGACTACAAGCCACCTAAATGCTTTAGAAACCCTGACATGATTTTTGTTCCCAATTAAAATCCAATGCACCAATGGATTTGGTGGATAGATTATGAACCCGTGCACCACAGGAGCTACGCAGCTTCCAAGTCTGTTTCCTTATAAAGGGAAAAGATTGTTGGACTTTTTTCCCCTGTTACTCTAGGAATGCTTTGTAGAGAAAAAGGTGTATATCTGTAAAGTTCAGTGTTTAGAAGTTTTACTTCTGGTAGTACTAGGGAGACTAACTGGAAACCAAATCCAAGTTAGTTGCCCACTTCAAAGGTCCCCTTAAAAAGACCCACAGATGAAGCACTTCATGGTTCACTGTCCAAACTGCAAAGAGGATCTGAAGCAGCAATGCAAGAGAGACCACATGCAGGAAAGGGCTGTGGAACTGGAAGCTGAACTCAAAAGATGCGAACATGAGATATCTCTAGACCAAGAGAATGAAGAAGTCTGATTTTCTAAGGTGAATCTTTTGTCTTTCAGATGTAGAGGATTGTGCCTTCTCTTTTAATTTCCTGTGCCTGTTGTCAGTGTACATTAGAGAGTGTTTCGTGACAGGGAACTCTAAGCAGAAATGGCTATATTCAGTTCTATATGGAGCCACTCATCCCTTCTATGTGGAGTCATTGATCCCTTCTATATGGAGTCATGCTCCTGTCTGGTCTGTGACAACCACATCTTTTCTAATTAACTTTGAGGCAAGGAGAAGGGGTAAGGAAGAACCTGTAGTATTGATAGTATAGATTATGTCTGCTGGTCATTTTGTTTTGCTGTTTTAATGGATACTCTCAAAGCATTACACACAGCTGCTTGTCAACATTTTCACTTCTTGATGTTAGTGGTTACAAAAGGCTCATAGTTCATTATTTGTTACTTGGAATAATACCACTAAGTCTGCCTCACCCTGTAAATCCCATCTTCAAACGTTTCTCAAGGAATAGGTGAAAGTTAGTGAAAATGAAGTGAAAGTTAGATGTTCCATTGTGATTGTGTGCTTTTACACCATTAAGATAATATCCATGACACCAAGTAAGTCTTTCTGCACAGTTGGTGCCTGCTTTGTTTGAACTTCTCAAACCCAGAAAAATGAGTATATAACATAAAGCTTAACCATTCTTTCTCCCTGCACTGTCTTTCTCGTCCCACACTCTTGACCTTGAGCCCTGTGCCAGAAGCAGGACCTCCTGTTCGCCCTTCGCTGTCACTGCTATCAGCAGATTGCCACCTGCTGGATGCCCTCCACAGTGCCCTTGGTCTGAACTTGGAGGCTTTACCTGCATCTCCATTAGCGGTGGTGGCAGACTGGAGAGGGGAGCCCAGGGCAACAACCTCGTGTTTGATCTGCATGTTTCAAGGGTTTTGCTTTTAGACCAGCCCTGTAGTCCTGAGGACCAGCCTCCCAGTGATGGCTGGGATGCATCTTTTGGTTGACTCAGTCCAAAAGGAATCTACTAGTGTGGGTTTTTTGAGCAATATGAACCACAGTGCAAGATGCATGGACAATTGGAATCATAGAATCACAGAATGGTTTTGGTTGGAAGCAACCTTAAAGCTCATCCAGCTCCAACCCCCTGCCATGGGCAAGGACACCTTCCACTAGAGCAGCTTGCTCCAAGCCCCTGTGTCCAACCTGGCCTTGAACACTGCCAGGGATGGGGCAGCCACAGCTTCTCTGGGCACCCTGTGCCAGCGCCTCAGCACCCTCACAGGGAAGAGCTTCTGCCTAAGAGCTCATCTCAGTCTCCCCTCTGGCAGGTTAAAAAGCCATTCCCCTTGGCCTGTCCTCCGGGCCTGTCTTGTGAAGATTGCTCTGAAGACAGCCAGTCTTCCAGGCCAGCGAGGCTCTGCTGACACTGCCCTGTCTCTCCCCAGGAATGGCCTAGTTACTCCTTCTGCACGTGTGAGGCCTTTTTGCCCAGTATTTCATTGGGTATTGGGAATGTGGATGAATATTATTTGCAGTTTATGGATGGAGAAGCAAGAAAGCCACTGTCTTGCCCACCCGCCAGTGGGTCAGAAAGAGAAGACTGAATCCTGTTTTCCTGCTCAATAGCTTCTGTGAGTGAGCAGTCTCTATATTCACTGCTTTAAGCTTTGTATACCAGCACCCTGCTCAGCATACAGAGAATTCATAACTCTTTGACATGTCTGTTTTTTTCCCCATAGCTGTTAGATGCACTCTTGGGAAGGAAAGAATAAAAGAAGGGAACAACACTCTTAATGTCTGGCAGTTAGACAATATTAATTATATATGTATCTGTGTATTTAGAAACTCAATAGAATTCTTTTCTTTCTCAGTGATCCAGGAGAACAGCTTGTTCTGTAAAAGGTGTTTTCTAACTATAGACAGGTATCAATTCCTCTATTGACTGAATTGATTCCTTCCTCTGCTAATGCATCTACTGTCCTGCACCTCCTGATGAGGTGACTGACACATAACATTACAGCTTTGATAGAGGGGATGAAGAAAACCATTTTGTTCACAATGCTGTCACTGTACAGCCACTGCCCATCGGTGCTTTGAAGCAACCAGTTCTCTTCATCATCCTAAAAGCTCCCTGACATCTGTTCACTTAAATAGCATTCCATTCCATTCCATAGTCTATTTTTCCATGGGCTAAATATATGATGAGAATAAAGGCAGCCTGTCTTGGATATTCACCGATGTTTTTTGCCTCTGACCACAAACTTAATTTGTACAAAAGCTGATGAGCTTTATGTCTTTGTGGGGACCCACACACTAAAATGAACTCCAGGCTCTCCTTGTCTAGGAAGCATTTGCCAGCACTGATTATGCCATTAAAGGATTTGGGAGGAATTTAAGTGCAGGTGAGCTCTAGTCTTTACATTGCGGTTGCTCCTTAAGGGAATGGCTTGAACAAGCGTAAAGTCAGTCTTGGATTTTTAAACATAGGCTTGGAATTTCTTATTTTAAAGGAATTCAGAGGGTTGCAGATACTTTTAAATCATCACAGTAGGATGATCCAATGTCATGGTCTTTAAATAATACAGAAAAGGAGTATACCTCTTGGGCAGAGTATGCCCCTTCAGCGCTGGGGAATAGGGAAGTTGGGAAGGAGTCCTAATGGAGAGACAAAAGAGAACTTGTGAAGAGCTACAGTCTGCAGTGACCTGCAGTTGAGAGATGGAGAGCACCCTGGGCATGAAACCTTCCTGTATATCTGGAGAACGATGGGTCTGTTGTATTCTGCATAGCTGGGAAAGAGGGGAAGCACTCAGCTTTATGGCGTGGTTCATGGTGTCTGTCAGCAGCTTCCTCCTCCGGAATGTAATTAGCATTGGGCTTGGACAAATCCAGGGATGGGGGGAACATATATGTGATTTCATTAATATTAATGAAGTTTCTAAAGGAAAGCTCTGCATGTTGACAAGATAATGCACAGTTTTGGTACAGCCACTTCCCAGAGCTGGCAGGGATTCTGGAGTCTTCCTTGTGAGAAATGCCCAGCTTATAAACTTATTTTCAGGGTTTAAAATGACTTCTCAGAGAGATGCAGGTGAAATCCTGATCCTTGTTTCAGTCAGAGCACCCCCTGCCCTTACTAGGACCCAGCTTTCCACCTCTCTATTCCAAATCAGTGTTCAGGCTCTTGGGGCTGAGTAGAGAACATTTGAGCTGCTTTTTCCAAGTGAACATGGAGCATGTGGTGTCTTTTCCCCTCTGCTGAGGGTGATATAAGGAAAGCAAGGGTCTGGAAAACATAGGGTTAAAATACTTTGAACTTAACTTAGGTCTAAGATAGAGAACAATGTTTGTTTTGTAAGTCTGTGGTGTGATAACAGAATTTAGTAGTCTTACTAACATGAGTGAATTCTTTCTTTCCATCCTTCTGATGAGTGAATTACTTCACACCATCCTTCTACTTATCAGTTAGTTTGGAGACAGTGCCTCCGGAACATCTGCTAGCTTGGGGTACTCCTTGTCTGCCTGTCCTGTTCTGCTTGCAGTGAATTTTGCACTAAGGTCACACTGTTCTAAATCTCTGCCAGCTATCAGAAACTTACAGATAGGGCTGGTTTCAGCTGGTTTTGTGATTACTGGGGCATCCAACTGTGCCGAAGGCGAAAAGTGCACAGTGAGGAAGACTGCTTACTGCATCTTGAAGACCCCTGCCCACATGAGGCAGACTGCTTACTTCATCCTCAAGACCCCTGCCCACGACCATCGGAGGGCAGCGTGCAAGCGCCAAAAGGGAGGAGACTTATGATAATGAGTACCTAAACTAATTGTAATAGCCCCGCCGCTCTCTCGGGAACCTAATGAATATGTATGTTTGTGTGCAATAAATATCTCCTTGCTTAACCCCTCGGTGTGCAAGTTAGGGGGAGCAATCCCCCTTGCACCTGGCACCATAATAAACATACCTGCTTTATAACTCTCTCTGAGTTGTAGTCTGATTTCATGCTTCAAGGGAGCTTGTGAGTTAAAGTGGAGGACTCAAGAGCCTGCCTGAAATGGAAGAGTGAAAATCCAAGCTCAAAAGGACAAAGAAAAGGAAAAAGCAGAAATCTCGGTTCTGGAAAATGAGAAGGTGCTTATCAAAGGAAATGTGGATGTGCTGGTGGATGTATGCCAGGGTACAGCAGTTTGCTTTCCGGTCCCTAGGCTTACTCTGAAGTGTTTTGCCTTTTACAACATATGAAAGAAAGGTGGCTTGTTGCTTGTTTCCTGTACTTGGGAGAGATGAAAAAGGGAAAGGGGACAGGTTTTGCACTACTGGAGCTGCAGGGGGTAGGGGGCTTCCCTTAATTTCCATTAGAATTTAATACAAAGAGCTTTAACTTTGTATAATAAAAATAACTAATGTGGTCTTTTGGCATTTCTATTAGGAAAGAAGCATAGGACCTCAACTGTGAAATGCATTTGTTACAGCGTAAAGAGAATCACTATGTTGCTGGGAATGAAGATACAGTCTTCCTGGCAAAACACTGGGGGAAACAGTTAATACATCCTAACTCCTCACATCCTGAGAACTGAATTCTTCTGTTCCTGTAAAGTCAAAGGTAAGGATCTAGCTGGGAAAAAAGGTGCTTGGAAATGTGTTGCTGAGTACTTTTCTGCCACATATCCCTCTTTTATCAAGCTGGGATCCAGGTCCGATCAGCAGTTGGTCACTGAACCTGCCTCATTGCAAAGTGGATGGCTTTAGTTGAGGTGTTCCAAGAATCATAGAATCACAGAATGGTTTGGGTTGGAAAGGACCTTAAGATCATCCAGTTCCAACCCCCCTGCCATGGGCAGGGACACCTCACACTAAACCATCTCACCCAAGGCTCTGTCCAACCTGGCCTTGAACACTGCCAGGGATGGAGCATTCACAACCTCCCTGGGCAACCCATTCCAGTGCCTCACCACCCTCACAGGAAAGAACTTCTTCCTTATATCCAATCTAAACTTCCCCTGTTTAAGTTTGAACCTGTTACCCCTTGTCCTGTCACTACAGTCCCTAATGAAGAGTCCCTCCCCAGCATCCCTATAGGCCCCCTTCAGGTACTGGAAGGCTGCTATGAGGTCTCCACGCAGCCTTCTCTTCTCCAGGCTGAACAGCTCCAACTTCCTCAGCCTGTCTTCAAACAGGAGGTGCTCCAGTCCCCTGATCATCCACGTGGCCTCCTCTGGACTTGTTCCAACAGTTCCATAAAGAAGTCAGCTTCACTTTCCTACCTGCAGCTCTCCAGTGCTGCAGGTATCATCAGAGCTGTACTTGAGGAAAACATGGAACAGCTGTGTTGACCTTTAGCAAGTGCCTTGAAGTCTGTAGCGCTGTCCCAGACACACTGTAATACGTTTGTCCCAGGGTTTCCTGATTCTAAGTGCAATGAGATATGGCCTAAAATGACCCATTGTTATAACAGTGACAACAGCTGCTGGGGTACAAATCACGTTATTTCCTTTGGAAAGAAAAGGGTTCTATTTTTAATGATTTTCTTAATCTTTCCATTCCATTCTAGCAGTGTTTATGGTACTGAATACAATACTTCTTGTTATGACTGCTCTTCGTGTGACTGGGACCTAAGTAGACATTCTGCAGCAAAACGTCTGGGATTCAGAGCCTAAAGAGCTTGTGCTGCAGGAAGTGCTAAAAAAAACCCCACTCAATCTCCTCCCACCCCCAAAAAACCCCAAAACCCAAACAAACCAAACAAAAAACCTTTAAGACACTGTCATCGTTCCCATGGGGAACGTTATTGTATCCTTTGGAGTGCAGCTTGTGTAGCTATTCTGTTAGGATTCTTTCTTTAAAAGGGGTAATTTCTTCTTGGAAAATCTGACTCCCTCCAGAACTGAGGGTCTTGATTTTGGTTCCTAAAAGGCATTTAAAGAAGATCTGCCATTAGCAAGGTGTTTTGATGGTGAGTGGTTGGCAGGGCTTGTGTTTCCCTTTTCCTGCTCTCCTGTACAGTCAATGGACCCTGTGATTGTGCAGCATCCTCATCTTTAGGGAGGTTTTCATGCACATATTAGGCTGGTGTTACTGCTGAAAAAGGTTCTTTTCTCTTTCCTACTGTTCTCATTTCTCCCTTGTGAAGGCACAAGCAGCGCAGTAAGTAAGGGAGCAGATCAGGAAACTAAACTGAGTGAAACTTGTAGAAGTTTGAAAGGCTTAAACTGATTTGAGGAGTGGGGGAATATAGAAGAAACCCTTTAATTCCTGTTCATCTCCCCACCTTTGTGAGTCTGGGTTTGGTGGATGTTGTCCACCAAAGGGTTTTGACCAGTGTCAGGGGGCAGGCTGGGTTGGTTGTTAGCACCTCAAAAACTGAACATTCATTTCATTCCACAGACACAACTTCCAGGGGGGAAAATTCTTTTCATTTAAACTAAGTATGTTTCACAGGTGAACAGTGCTGACCTAAGCTGTGGCCTAACATGGGGTTTGGCACACAGGTTAGAGTTGCTGGTTCTTCATTAGTGTGAGGAGGGCAAGCAGTACACTTTGGTATTGCACTGTCAGTGAGGTGTCTAAAAGAGAAGTAGCTGTTAGAATCACAGAATAGAATCACAGAATAGTTAGGGTTGGAAAGGACCTTAAGGTCATCCAGTTCCAACCCCCCTGCCATGGGCAGGGACACTTCACACTAAACCATCTCACCCAAGGCTCTGTCCAACCTGGCCTTGAATGCTGCCAGGGATGGAGCATTCACAGCCTCCCTGGGCAACCCATTCCAGTGCCTCACCACCCTAACAGGAAAGAATTTCTTCCTTATATCCAATCTAAACTTCCCCTGATTAAGTTTTAACCCGTTACTCTTGTCCTATCACTACAGTCCCTAATGAAGAGTCCCTCTCCAGCATCCCTATAGGTCCCCTTCAGACTCTGGAAGCTGCTCTGAGGTCTCCACGCAGCCTTCTCTTCTCCAGGCTGAACAGCCCCAACTTCCTCAGCCTGTCTTCATACGGGAGGTGCTCCAGTCCCTGATCATCCTCGTGGCCTCCTCTGGACTTGTTCCAACAGTTCCATGTCCTTTTTATGTTAAGGACACCAGAACTGCACACAATGCTCCAGGTGAGGTCTCACAAGAGCAGAGTAAAGGAGCAGGATCACCTCCTTCGACCTCCTGGTCACACTCCTTTTGATGCAGCCCAGGATACAGTTGGCTTTCTGGGCAGCAAGCGCACACTGCAGCCAGCCCATGTTCATTTTCTCATAGACCAACACCCCCAAGTCCTTCTCCGCAGTTGCTGTTGATTCAGTCGAGCAACTTTTTCCTAGTTACCCTTTATATGTAGTTGAACATTACTGTATTTACTGCCTCAGCAATGCTGAATGTGCCAATGATTGTGAGTATTCTTTAGGTAATCCCATTTGGAAATAATGATGTCTTCAGCCAATGTGAAGTGGCATAATTGTGCAAGATCCCTGTGCTCTCTAACTTCAGAAATGACAACCTTGGTGTATAGTGTTTTCTTTACTGTGTTAATGTATTAGCACCTCTTGTTTGACTAGTAAGAACAGAGAAGAGTTTGTTTCTGGAGAAGGTGGATGAGCTGCAGAAAGCCCTTGAGGAAGAGTCTCTCTCATGTAGCTTGGCCTCAGCTGCTCATGAGAGTTCAAGGAGACCACCAGCTTCCCAGGAGGGACCACTGGATGGATGTAGGGTCAGGTATGCACATTGTAGAAGCATCTTTGCCCGTGTTCAGAAACATGTCCAATCACTGAGACAGCTTCATTCTTCCAGAACAGACTCAATACTGTTGCCATGTATTTGGTGATTACTGGCTTCTGAAAGCAGCAGTGCAACCTGGCTGCCTCTCTTTTAAACAGCTTCACTATTTTATGCATGCACTTATATTATCCAGGCTGTACACAGCAGCTCTAGCTATTAGGATCAATTAGAAAATTCTGGATACCCCTTTCAGAAGCTGTTTAGCTGGTTTAAAGCTGAAGGTTATCTCTGTGCAGCGTGGAGTGCGAAAGGGAGGAAAGGGACCTGTGTGAACAGGAGGGCCTGTGTGCTACAAAAGCAGTGTACTAGTTCTCAGTGTTAGAAACAAGCTGGAGCAGGCAAAAGGTACCCACCCAGCTACACAAGGAGAGTTAAACTCAGCCTCAGCCTCCTAGGCCTGAATTAAATTAGCATTAACAGAGTAGGTAACAGAGGAGAAGGAAGGTTTCACCCAGGAATAATGTATGAATCTGGTTACCAAGCAAGGGATCTGGGAAGTTCTCACTGAGGAGATGAAATGGACAGGGATTTAAAGGAAATAACAGTATTTTCTAGTCTTTGAAGTGGGCAACTTGGCAATTTTCTGAGTTTTATTTTAAGCTTTAATTGCTCAGTATCTCCTTTCTGACATTCACATGCTTCTGGTCTGCCTGCCTTGGGAAGCATCACAGTTGTGCATTACCACAAGCTCTATCAACCCATTGATAGGTGAGGTTTAATAATGGCTATATTTTGCAGTGGAGTGATAAGCAGGTGCTTTGTGCCAGTCAGACCAGCCCAGGCACTTCGTGCTGAGATTCTGCTGTGTAATATGTAGAGTTGCTTCTGTCCTTGGCCAACTCTTGGAGTTCAAACCCCCAAATTGGTGATTGTTAAGCAATATGTTAACTCACACCTCACTGTTTGTGTGGCCCCTTCAGTATTAGATCTGAGACTAAGCTGTGATGGTCCCCTTGGCAATTCCAGGACCTTCAGGGATAAAGGTGTTACTGGACTGAGCTCCCCAGAGCAGAACTTAATCAGAACGAGACCCACATTAACAGCTCTAGGAGCTGATTTTGCTTTGTTTGCTTTTCTACTTAACTACAAATGTAATTTGGTATCTCTCATCCATTTTAGAAAATGCAAGATGAACCGAAATACACTTTACGAAGTGTAGCAAGTTAACAGAAGCCCTCCATGAGAACTGTGTGCATCTCTATGTGTGGAAGGCTATGTCTGAGAACAGAGTGATGATCTGAGTAACGCGGTAATGGGATGGTTTGTAGCAGTTTATTATGCTGGCAGCTGGGGTTTCTTAGCTGTGTTTGTTAGGAGAGTGGTTACTTACTGTTAATTGGTAACCTGTTTAATCTTACCTTCTTATTGTTAACCTGCCTATTGTTAGTAATCGGCTTATTGTTAGTAAGCTCTAACTATTAGTAGCAAACATCGGGCTGTGCAACTGTAAATATGCTTGATTTTAGTCCTGTTGACAACTGGCTTCCACAGTACCCTTTGTGTTCATGAAATTAAATATGGCCTCATTTACAGTCTTAAATATCAGAAAGTAACAGCATTTCTTTTCCATAAACATCTGCCTTCTCTGTACTACAGACACTTGAGCATGCAGGGGATCTTCTCATATGGCTAATCCTGGGATGCAGTTGTGTGAGACACCGACAGTCACTGACCAGCACTAAAAGGGTGAAGTCCTGCTTGTCCCTGTCATCTCCTAACCTCACCCTCTCCTTTTGGCTGGGCTGTTTTGGCACAGTGAAAGGGTCTGAAAAACAAGGAGGAAAAGAAAAGGATGGTGGAGGGCAGAGCTTGCGTTCTATGGGCACAAGAAGCTGTTTCAGCTGGTTATGAAAGGCTTTACTCTGTGAGCAAACATGATGTGCTTCCTCTGAAACATGCAGAGTTGCCTGGTAAGACTGGATTGGAGGTTTAGTTCTGTGTGTTCCTGCACACTTAGCACAGTGGAAGCTCTTAATGCTGTTATTCCTTAATACAACCCTAACATCTAAAGCACTATCTCATGTCCTACAACTTTCCTCTTATTTGTGCAGTTTGCCTTACTTGTGAGCCCTGATTTCTCTGCTGCTTCATCTGACTGCTAGGCTTTTTTAGTATACAGTCGGGATCGGAATATTTCTGGTACTATGTAAGTCTTAGTTTGCTCTGACATTCCTCAAATACCTGAAATTCCTAGTGAAGAAAGAAGCAATTTGAGTTTTGCTGGAACATGCAAAGGCTTTTTTTCCCCCTAAAGCCAAATAATTATCAAAATCCACAACCAGAGATGTAAGGCTGAGATTCCACTGAAGGGTGAGGACAGCAGATCTCAAACCATGCCTGATTTCACCTGCATGTTAACATTTGTAAGCACACAGCTGCCAGTTCTTGTCATAATGAACTGATATGTATTCCTAGCCACATCTATTTTGAATACATACCTGATGTCTCAAATTTGCTGGCAACTGTGTAAACACACTTTCAGGTACATATTGTAATACACATTTTGATCTGTACAGTGCCTATTATTTGTTAAGCTCAGGCACATATTTTGCTTTCTGCCATCCCAGCAGCCTGAGGATTCTAAATGGGGCTATAATGACTTTAAAACCAGCGATGACTTTAAACGTTTTCTTCAGAAAGTTGGTCATGTTTTGGTTATTCTGTTCATTTGAAGTTGTTGATGCAATCATTTTCCCCTTAAAGGAAAAGCGAACATAACCTCCAGCTTGCTGTTACGGTCACAATGTACTTGAGAAGATGATTTCTAGAGAAAGTGGTATCACACATACAAAGGACACTTGAGATACAGGTAAATTTGGAGGGCAACCAACATTTACCTATAAGACAGAAACACCCCTCTGTATGGCAAAGCTAAAGGTGTTACAGAACAGTCCCACAGCAGCAACTCTCCCTGCTCCCATAGAGACTCACTGGCATCTCCAGCTGGGTGTTGTGCTTTTAGAGCCTGTTCCTCAAAGCTGGACACTGTTTTCAGAAGTGTTGAGGTGGCACTTTTCATGCTGGCTTTCAAAGTTGTCCCTGGCTTCCCTCAGCAATACCGCAACGTTGCATTACACCCACAAAGCCCACAATATCTAAACCTTCTGGCTTCTTCAAAACACAGAAATATATGTAATTACATAGATAGGTATAGAGTTAGAAACAGCTATAAACACGCTTTATATATACAACTTGTCAATATTGACATTCCAGGACTGCATTCAGTGCAAGGCAGATGGGTGTGGGTGCTGAACGCTCACACGGGGCACTGCATCTGGCTGCAACTTAAAGTCATTTTTCCTTCTTTGTGGGCTTTGTACTTGTATTTGGTTCACTTGGCAGTGATACCCCCTTTCCTGTGGAATTTGCTGCTGCTAAAATCATATAGTGTCTCTAAACTTCAGTAAAAGCAGATGGCTTATTACAGTGTAGGTCCTACAACCTTACAACCATTTCCAGCCTTGGCTTACCAGATATTAGAGCCTTTCCATAGCAACTGTGAGCATTAAACTTCCAGAATCTGTGTCCCTTTCCTGGGATGTGTATCCCCTACCAATCACACACACTTGCAAGCCAGTGCCTTGCAGCCACGAGCTAATGCTCACCCTTCAGACTGCCTGTAACATTGACCTCCACCATGATGGATACGGCTACAGCTTATCTCAGTGGGAACCTGTGGTTGATGTGAGCAGGTACAAGCAAGGCTGCTGCTCACATCCAGTGCCATGAGAATCCTTTAGGAACCCAGAATGGGATCTGCAGTGTTTGTGGATTTAAAAGCAGTGTTCTTCCAATGCTGCTGCAAATATCCTGCCATATCCTTCCATGCCATGGCCTCATTTATGATCACATTTTGGGGTACAATATCTGTTGCTCAGCAAGTCACTCGGGGCTTTCTCCTTGCAGCTTCAGGTGTTGAATTCCCATTAAAGAGCTGTCATTCTTGCATTTTTTGGATACACCTTTCTCATTTTCTTTGCAAATTTCTGCACAGGTTTCTACATCTGTGCTGTGGCTGCTGATTAAAACATTAAAGCCAGAATATTCAGTACGCTGTGAGAAACTTCTCTGTTCATCTCCCTCCTGCTAAGTACCTTCCCTCAATGCATAACCCACCCGCATTTCCCACTTAATGAGCTTCTTGACTTAAAATGCTTCTATTAGATCATCTTTTGTGAATCGAATGACATTCAAATGACTCCATGTGCTACAGTTTCTGTTCTCATTTCCATGGTACTACTCTGCTTCTTGGTCATTTGCAAAAATCTCTTACCTGGATTTGGATTTTCATGTTGTTTCTTTAAATATAACCATTTTCATTGCAGTGCCATCATCCTTTTCCTTCCTGTTTTCTCTACATTTTAAATCATCCTCTTTGCTAAAAACCCAAGCAAAATCCCCACAACAAAACCCAAAGGTCAAATAATGACTTGGGTTTTAGGCTGGGCTACTGTTCATTTTGTGCCAGAGTGGTGTATGTATGTGCCTCGTTCTTTGTTTGAAGAGGTTTAATTCATCCTGACCACTCCTCCCCCATTTGTGTTCTGTCATCTGTGATTTTTCTTTGCTATTCCTTTCCTCTTGAATGCCTTGTTGGAAAGCTCATCCCCTTCTCGTTTGTAATGCAATTTCTGAGCAGCATTTTTTAACCTAAATTTCATTATTCTTCCCCTTTGAAAAATCTCTGCTCAAAGTGATCTCCATAAATGGTTCCTTTAACATCTCACAGTTTAATCTTTCCCAAATTAAAGAATCCTTGTATATATTGTCATACAAAACCCCAAACTACCTGCTTGGCATATGAAACCTATTCTTTATCTTTGCTCATTCATGTTGCCTTCTTCCACTTACACAATAAATCCCTTTGGAGATGGGAGGACCAGGGCTCATGCAGTGTTTGAGATGGAATTGCTTTTTTTTCAGTGTATAGTATTATATAATATAGAAAGATAATTTTTTTTTTTTTTTTACCCTCACCTGCATTTATCTGCAATTATTAAAACTGAACTATAGCTCCTGTTCTGTCATTGTCATAAGATCCTTCAGCATGTTGTTCAAGGCCAGGTTGGACAGAGCCTTGGGTGACATGGTTTACTGTGAGGTGTCCCTGCCCATGGAAGGGGGGTTGGAACTAAATGATCTTAAGTTCTTTTCCAACCCTAACTATTCTATAATTCTTTCTTTATCAGTATTCATGAATTCTGTTATTATTAAGGTTAACATAGTAAAAATTCATCAAAAAGCTCAATCTAAATTATACACAGGTTCCGTTCTTCTAAAACCTTACATAAACCTTTGGTTTTGCTGCTTCATTTCGCTTCAAGGAGTTTCTAGCAATATTTTTAATCTCTATCTTAACAGTTCAACAGTTTTAGATTCATTCTTTTAGAACATTTGAGTGCTGCCAGACCTTAGAAATGGTTTGAGTCTTTTCTGATTTGAAATCTCTTCAAATAATCATTGAGCAAAACATGCTTTAGAGCTCCTCTGCCTTCCTCCAAGAGAACTTTGTTCCTAAGGAGACAAGTAGCAGTTATACATGACCATGAATTCAACAACATATTGTACAGCTCTTCAGGATTATAGAATACTGACAAGCACAAGCAAACCAGCCTTGAGTTTGTATTGTAGGGTTCCTCAGGTATAACTAGGGATTATAAACTGTCATCTTCCTCCCAAAGTAGTGATCGATATTGTCATGCATGACATACATAAAATGGCTTTTTTTATTTAAGAAACAAATTTCAAGTTTCTGTTTGTTATGCTCACACTTCAAAAATGAATACAAGTAGTCATGTTAAACTTCCAAACATCATTACACAGCTTCTTAAAGCCAGGAGGAAGAAACAACAACAGAATTCAGCAATTTCCATGCTACATTCAATACAGCATGGAAGAAACTAAATGAAAGACAATCAAATCCAAACCCCAAACCTTCTATTTTCTGAATAGAAGTAGTAGCTGAAGTCCTGAGTGGCAAGAGTGTAGGAAAAGGTCCTAAAGCCCTTCTTTCCCTACTTCCATTAACTAGAGCTGTTGGGGTACATTTTTACCTGACTTAATAAGATTCTCTCTTTACAGTGTATATTTCCTGCCTCAATAAAGACCTTTGAAGATTGCCAGCATTTATGAAGAATGATTTTACAAGATCATGATTTGAGCTCTTCAAATTAAAATGGAGTTGAAAGAGCAGTTTGGGGGCTGGTTACATGACACATACGAGATCTGCAGTGTCACTTGCTCTACTGAGCCACTCTTCTACTTGTCTGTAAGCCTTCAAAATCTCTGTGAAGTTTTAAGCGGTCCCTGTCATGTATTCGAGGCATCTTTTCCACTATAGGGAGAGCAACTCCCTATATTTTAGATAGACAAAGTAGTTGAGCTGATGAAGCACCTCATTTCCTGTCACAGTTCAGCTCACTTAAGTGGGCAGAAGACAAACCCCAGGGGAAGAAGAGGGAGGAACTGAACAGAGTCACTTGGCCATATGGTCTAACTGCACACATTGTGCTCCTCACAGCTGCTCTGCCAAAACCACTCTGAGGTCTCGCACAACAAACCCTTGTCTATTCATTGCCATCCTACAAGACATGGCATGAATGCACCCCACAAGCACTGAAACGTTTGCATGAGACCAGGAGACACTGATGATGGCAAATCACTGCTCCAAAATCTTACCTGCCTCTGCCAGCATGTAGAAAGAGCTGGGCAGAAGACCTCAGTACTTACCAATGCAGCATGCAAGCTGTTGTTATTAAACAGGGGTTGCAGTTCATCTTACAAACTGATATCACACGAGACTAGAATAAATAAGATTAATATAAAAGTAAATTCTTTTTTTTGGTGGAAATTCCAAACTGGATCTTTCCTACTGGAAAATAGACAAAATTTCTGCACTGGAAAGACTGGAAAGTTTTAAATTCACAGCATTTTGTAACAGTAGAAATGTAGCAAGTTTTTGTTTGGTGTCTATTCCACTGCCAGCAATGAAATAGGTTCCTGAGCCTCAGGCCATCTGCTTGCCTTCATTCAGTCAGCTTCATCATCGCTGGGTTTCTCTTCTGAGTCATCATTTTCATACTCCTCATCCTCATAGCCAAAAGCACCCTCAGCTTCAGGGTCAGACTGACCTTCCTCTTCACACTCATGGGGCTGATCAGACCGAGAGCTGGGTCTTGACTGCTCATCCTCCTCCTCTGCCTGGGAATGGCTAAGTGACCGGCCTGCTTTTGCTTGTGCTTCATCTTCCTCCTCCCCCTCCTCTTTCTCCTCCTCCTCTTCTTCTTCACGGTGCTGGTCAGAGGTGGGGCTCAACTCAGCTGCATGGCAAGGCTGATGGACATAAGGGCTGGCTCTTGCCTCTTCCTCATCCTCCAGCTCACTGCACTGGCCATCCTGGATGGGAGTTGTGACACCTTTTCTCTTCTCCTCCTCCTCTTCCTCCCAGGACTGCTCAGACCCACTGCTGTCAGCCTCAAAGGACTCCCTTTCCTTCACTTCATCCCTGATGGCTCTGAAAAGACAATTTGCACGTGTGATTTTACTTGCAGGTAAGATGCTCTCCAGCAGGTTTTCAACTACCTGCAGGCAACGTAGGACACATCCTGGCAGCCTTGGCTGGGGTGGAAATGGGGAAGGAGAAGGGAAGGGGGGGACACTGGAGACTGCTGTTATGCTTGAAAATAACTCAACAGTATTGCTTATAGATATTCAATTCTTTCATTTCTGCTTTCTTTGGAATCATAATACCTAATGGATATTGAAAAGTGGGGTTTACAAGACTTACTTTCACAATTCAGTGAAGGTAATGCAGAATGAAGTGACTTACTAGCAACCTGCCACAGTTTTTGGTGACAGGAACAAATAAAGGTTTTCCTTCAGTTTTCTTTGAAGGGCATTTCAAACCATATCCAGTGCTCTCCCGTGTTTTATGAGATCACATTTAATTCAGGTAAAACAACAAAGTACATACTAATGCTAACTACAGTCAGGCATTTACATGGGAAATACTTCAAATAAGTAAGACAAAGAAACCTACACATCAAAAATTACTAATTACTAGGTATGGGGGGGATCCTTCATTAATCTCTACCTTTCTCTGGCATCAGTGGAGTAATTAAAATCTTCAATACTGGAATATTGTGGCAATTTGGTTGTTTGTCCTTTCCTTGACACAAACTCTGGGCATATCCCCAGCGCTCTCAGTTTGTTGGAATAATGCTTTTCTGCAGCTATTCTGGCATTTTTCTGTAGGCAAACCACAATGGTTATGTGTTATCTAAATGCATTCAATGCCTGTCTTTTGATACTTTATTGATAGTAATATTCCATTTCATTCATTGCATCTGGCAAGTGGAATGATTATTCAATGCAGGTGAGAATGGCAAAACAATACTTAAACTTCACACCAAACTTTCCTTTTCTGTACTAGTTCAGAGCTGGTTTGCTCCCTGTTCCCACTGGCTAATGAAGAGCTCTGTGTTCTGTATATAGCTCTTGAGAGAGGAGGAGGAGGATGTGGCCATGTAGAATTGCCCTAAAAAAGCAGTATTCACCTTCTTACCTGCTATTTAACAGATTACACAGTTGTGCATCTCTGCCTTCTGGCACTGAGGGTGTAAATTCTCTTCCACCAGGTAAGATCTGAGTAAGAACTTGTCCTACAACCTACATGGATGCTCCTGCCCCACACCCAGGAAACCCACACAGACAAGGAACCAGGGAACCAGTGATCTATGACTTGCTGCCCCTCTGGGTCTGGAAACAGGTCAGGGACCACACCACCAGCATGTGTTTGTAATGAAATGGAGAGAGAATAATACATACTGCAGCTGAGCTTTATAGTAGACACTTGAATTTTCTTATCACTTCTTTCCCAGCTTAAACCTCTTACATTTTTTTGCTGTAACTCTTTCTTGTGTTTAAAATTACTCATAGAATCATAGAACAGTTAGGGTTGGAAAGGACCTTAAGATCATTCAGTTCCAACCCCCCTGCTATGGGCAGGGACACCTCACACTAAACCATGTCACCCAAGGCTCTGTCCAACCTGGCCTTGAACACCGCCAGGGATGGAGCATTCACCACTTCCCTGGGCAACCCATTCCAGTGCCTCACCACCTTTACAGTAAAGAACTTCTTCCTTATATCCATTCTAAACTTCCCCTGTTTAAGTTTGAGCCTGTTACCCCTTGTCCTGTCACTCATGTTGTAACTCATGTTGTGACTGATTTGGACAACGTTTACTACAGCCATCCCTGTTCCCTGTGCAAGCATGCCATGAATATCTAGTCCCAAAAATTAGCAGTATTTATATGGTTAGAATGGACAAATATTGGCCTGAAAGCTGTATTCAAGCTATCTTCTGAAAATGTCTGATTACAAATGTCTTATGCAGCATCTGAAGGTAAGAAGTAACACAGAAGCAAGACAACCTGAGCGACTCTTTCGAAAAGCAATGGCCTTTGTTTTACTCTTTCTTCCATTTCTTGCAACTCTTGCAGATATTCTTGCATTCTCTGCTTCTCATAATTCCTACGGGAAACAGAGGACAAGAGAAATGATAAGTAATTTATAATACAAGAAGTCATTTCCTGCCGCAGTTAAACTGCTCCTAACAAACCCAATAATCTCCTACTTAAAGATGTATCAAGAGTAAATTAGTTTACAGTGGTTACAGGCTCTGAGGTTATTGTCTCATTTCACAGCAATTGCCTGTCTGTAAGCACTGAATAAAACTGGCTGGGAAACTGTCACTTTGGAGAAGCAGAGAGAGGTCCTAGCCACTGAGCTTAAATAGTTTGCCTGAGTTTGGATTCTTAGGGTTATTTAGGACACTTAGTTTTTTAAACGCTGATTTCATACAGATATTCTGCTTGTTCTAAGCAGTATTGAGTAGAATACACATAGGAAATTAATATCATTAAATAAAAATCAGCACTTTAAGGTAAAAGTTTGATGATAAGAATCTTGCTAGTTCTCCAGTCTGTCTCACAAGAGGGGTGGCCACATTCTGGATCACAGAATCATGGAATGGTGTGGGTTGGAAGGGACCTTAAAGCTCACCCAGTTCCAACCCCTGCCACAGGCAGGGACACCTTCCACTAGAGCAGCTTGCTCCAAGCCCCTGTGTCCAACCTGGCCTTGAACACTGCCAGGGATGGGGCAGCCACAGCTTCTCTGGGCACCCTGTGGCAGTGCCATCATAGGACACTGTTTTCCTAGTTGGCTTGTCAAGGTCCCAGGCGTTACAGCAGGATGAGGAAATATCTCAGATCATAGCAAGCACCAGATAATCCACGTAATGGGCTCTAATCCTCCGTGTGCGACACAGACACCTCATTGTGGTATTGCCTCTGTACTGGGCCAGCTCCAGCATTACCAAGTCACTTAAGGTCAGGCATGAGAGCTCTGGCACATTTACACTTGTGTCTCCTCCTGCCTCCTTCCCTTACTATCCTCCGAACTCCTGCAATGCACAGTAGCTGTGCAGTAAAGCAAGTTATTCACCACGTGGAGGGAGTGAACTTCATTGTTGCTCCTTGCTCGCTCTCAGGCGGCTCTCTACAAACCTAATTATGTGTTAGAAGAGCACTTACAATAATGTACCCTATTACCCAGCCTATGCTGAAATAAGCACTATCAAGTTAAGCACTTGTACCAGCCTTAATGCATCAGCACCAGGGAAGTAATCTTGCTTTGTAACAGCATAATTTTATGTGCAGACAAGAACTCAGCACGAGTGTGTTACAATACGCACAAAATCTGATTAAGCTGAAGACTTTAATGTTGAAGTTTGCTGTTGAATGAACTCGAATCACATCTTGTAAACACACCCACTATTCCTCTTGATCCTCCACCCTGCTACTGTAACTCAGCTTGCTTTCTGCTTCTGTCCTACAGTCAGCAGATCATCTACCCAAGGACAATGACATTAGAAAGCTCCTCTTATTAACAGTATCTACTGGTTGCATTACAAAAGCAATAGTGTTTGAGCTCTGACTCTACCCAAATAGTCAGAAGGCACTGCCCTCTTTGACCTGCATCTCTACCACTGCATCTCTGCTGCCCAGGACCATGTGTAAGTTGTGCTTCTGCCCATGTGTGCTTTGCCTACAGCCCTTACCTCCACCTGCATCTCAGACAGATCTCTGGCTTCAACCATATTCTAAATGTCTTAAGGTTTAGTTATGAGAGTTAAGAGTTGCTAATCTAAGCTATAAATCTCATAATCAGGCCTATCTCATGATCATTCATGAGTGTGAGGTGTCCCTTGCCATGGCAGGGGGTTGGAACTGGATGATCTTGAGGTCCCTTCCAACCCAAACCATTCCATGATTCACCCTTGTATTGTTTTGCCCTACCACTGTCAGTTACTGGCTGTTTGCCTGCTTACTGGAAATCAGGATTTGCAGTCGCTGCCCAGGATCCTGCCTATGCATGAAGCAACAGAGGCAGAGCAGCCAGTACCTCTCACTGTCACCACACAACCCCACCTTAAATGGATGATACTGCTGCAGTGCCATGGTGCCAAGAGAGATATAAACCTCACTAGAGACTCGTTCAAGCAGGACTAATTTGTGGAGGTTTTTTCCTAGGAATTACAAAGAACAAGAAGCAGAAATGTAAAGCAGAAACGAGGCCAAGCATCAGTTCTGGAGTCAGATCAGCATCAGGGAGCTGGAGCCATCCGGACTGGTAGCTTACAGCACACCAACAAGGCCCTGATGTTTATTCCTAGAGTGCTACTTTTCCTCAAGTCCTATAGAAACAGCCTCCCAGTCTCTATCTCTACTAAAGGGAATTTTGGATCCCATTCCCACTAAGCACCGGCAGCTTCCTGGTTTGCTGCTGATACCCATGCTACATTGAACTAATATTCCTGCTCTAATTTTCCTTCTTAAGTGGGGTCCTGCTGGGACAAAGTGATGAACTGTGATGACAAATTATTTATTACTGTAGGAGACAGCGAGCACCAAAGTTGTACCAACACCTGGCAATCCAGCAGTGCAAGGGTATTCTGTAACTACACTGGTCCTTTTCCTTTTGATTTCTCCATTGAGGAAACACAGGAGCTAATCTGTAATTCCATAAAGATCAAAATCCTGAGAACAGGCAACCATTTCCTGGTTGGAATACTGCATTTGCCTACTTCTTTCCTACCTGCTTGTACAGTGTATGATTTAGCAAACGTGTGACTACATAAACTTGGACTATGTTATATTTTACATTGTATGTCTCTCATACAATGTAGAATGAGATCTCCAGGATCAGGGGAACGCAACAAGATACCTGAATGTTCTTAATTTGGATTTAGACACCTGAGCAAGGCTCTGATGGGGGTCACTGGCCTCAGCCCGAGTGGTTACAAGTTTCTGGAGGCTTTTTGTTCTTTGTTTCTGCTTTGTTCTGATCCTTTGCTGTTGTTCTTCCAGCTTCCTCTTTTCCTCAAGTGAACTCCTGGTGGAAACATAAACTAAGGCTGAATTCACTTTGAACCAAGAGCAAGACTTCAAAGGAAGCTTTGGCAAAGAGGAAAGCAGGGTGAAAACAGGGTAGGTGTAAGAGGACACAAGGTATGTGCCATTTTAAGGGATTCAGGGGTATCCTGGGAAGCAGCAGGCATTTATCCCTTTCCTGTGCATATGCTGACAAGAATGCACTATTCTTTCTTTAACAATCTTAAGTCCTACTTTTAAGTATTTTAAGTTGTCTATTATAATTAAGCCTTTATATTAATATACATTAAGTTCTATATCCACTGCATGGAAAAATTCACTACATATTCAGCCCAGAAACCAACTGTATCCTGGGCTGCATCAAAAGGAGTGTGACCAGCAGGTCGAAGGAGGTGATCCTGCCCCTCTACTCTGCTCTCATGAGACCTCACCTGGAGTATTGTGTGCAGTTCTGGTGTCCTCAACATAAAAAGGACATGGAACTGTTGGAACAAGTCCAGAGGAGGCCACGAGGATGATCAGGGGACTGGAGCACCTCCTGTATGAAGACAGGCTGAGAAAGTTGGGGCTGTTCAGTCTGGAGAAGAGAAGGCTGTGTGGAGACCTCATAGCAGCTTTCAGCATCTGAAGGGGGGTTATAAAGATGCTGGGGAGGGACTCTTCAATAGGTACTATAGTGATAGGACAAGGGGTAATGGGTTAAAACTGAAACAGGGGAAGTTTAGATTGGATATAAGGAAGAAGTTCTTTACTGTGAGGTGATGAGGCACTGGAATGGGTTGCCCAGGGAGGTTGTGAATGCTCCATCCCTGGCAGCATTCAAGGCCAGGCTGGACAGAGCCTTGGGTGACATGGTTTAGTGTGAGGTGTCCCTGCCCATGGCAGGGGGGTTGGAACTGGGTGATCTTAAGGTCCTTTCCAACCCAAACCGTTCTATAATTCTATGATTCTATGATATATAGAAATACAAGAGAAGACTGCTCTTAAAGTACATACACAACGTAGAGCACCACTGCAGTAGTCACCTTATGGCGTGTATGCGACGTCTTGTGGATTCTGTGATTCTTGGTGATTTAGATCCTCCAAGATGTGAATTCACCCTTGAATGTCTCATCTGGGGTTTACGTCTTGGAGAGACATATGGCCAGCGTGTTTCCTTCAGCTTCTCTTCATCCTCTTCAATGTCCTTCAATATCTTCCCCTTGTTTGAGGGGATATATGGAGTAAGGAGACCGAAAGGTTCACAGACTGTCAGGCTCTTCACTTGTTTCTGCTGCAGGAGCCGCTGCTGAAATCTCTGGTGCAGCAGTTCAAAGTCCGGAACACTTGATTTGATCCTAGGTTTATGCTCGGTTTGCTTTGGTTCACTGCACTTGGGCTTCTTTTTACTGGCATCCTTTAAAGCCAGCCTGCTGTTGGGGAGAGATGAATTACGCAGCAGCTCCTCAGCTCTCATTCTGATCCTGATCTCCCTGTAGAGCTCCTCCTCCTTCAGCCTGTCATTAACAGCCGGGCTATAGACACATCTAGGAACCGGTTTTGCTTTGAACAGTCCTGTTTTCTTTCCAGGCGCAGAAAGGTCTCGCAGTTGCATTTTCCTCATCTCATTCCTTTGCTTGTCTCGCTCAATGAATTTAAATGGCTTCTGACAAGCCAAGAGCTGCAGTTTGCTCCTCTCTTTCACAGACCTCCTGCGTTCCTCATTGCGCTGCACGATCTCGTGGTAGAGCGGCAGGAAGACAGTAGCGGGCACCGGGTTGGCTCGGAACTGCTTCTGACACTCTGCTTCCTCCTCCAGCTGCTTCTTCAGTAAGTTATTCTCCATTTCAACCAGTGACCTCGACTTGATGTTCTGCTCTTTCTTCCTGGCTTCTCTGATAGTCATCTGGAAGGGCTTGGGCACAGTCACTTTGGGTGACCATGCTTTCTGTTTCTTCTGCGTGGTTCTGCAGGCAGGTGAGCTGGGTTTGGTGCGAGGGATGTAATCTTCCACAGAGAACCCATCCCACATGGTTTCAATCCGTTGCTTGGCAAGTGCAGATGATGGAGTTTCACTCCCGTTTTCTTCAAAGGCTCTGTCAGACCCCTCAGATACACTCGAGCTTAAGGGATCGCTTAAGTCAGAGTCTGAAAAGGATTTGTGCAGATGTAGAGGCTGATATGAGCTCTTCTCCCAAGTTGGCCTTTAAAAAAAGGAAGAAAAAGGTGTTTTGAGTCAGTCCAACACTGGTACAAAGCCAGTAACTTCCACTGTGAGGTATCATCATTAGAAACAAAACTCAGCAGTGCTGGTGGGGGAAAGGAAAGGGTAAGAGAAGCACATGGAGCATTCAGGCCTGATCATAGGTTTAAGCCAGTGCTGGTCACAAACAAGTCAGCACTTCTTAAGGAAAGGCACTGTGCTTTATTAAACATGCTGCCCAGCCTCTGCTGCACACAGACTTGTAACTCTCACAGCCCTTTAGCAACGTGAACAAGCATTTCTGTTATTAAAACTAACTTCTCCATGTTACCTGCTTAGAGGAAATGGGGAGAGTAACACTTTCCAGCCCCAGGAAACAAACCCCACAAACCTGGTTTACATCTGGTTTACAGGTCTCTGCAAAGCGTTTCATCATACAATCAGAGCCTGGGTTGGGTTGGAAGGGACCTTAAAGCTCATCCAGTTCCAACCCCTGGCACAGGCAGGGACACCTTCACCACCAGACTTACCTGCAGCACATACCAGCAGCAGCACTCTTCGTGCCCAGGGGTTGCTCTCTTTTCAAATGCAGTTTATTCCTATACATGCTTTCCAGTTTAGCCATGGTCTCCAAGTGCGCGTTCTTCAGCTCCTCCAGCTTCAGGTAATACTCTTGGTTTGAATGGTGCATTTTGGAGAAGTCTATCTGCTTGTCACAGTCTCCACTCAGAGCCAGGGGCTGCTCCCTGCTGGTGCTTGAATCCAAATCAAAACCATCCTGCAAGAGAGGGATGTTTGCAAAGTGTTCTGATTGTTACAAGGGAGAACAAGGTTCTTAATACTGCTTTAGCCTGGTTATGCTAATGAATGGTGCAGTAATGCCAAAGAGAGATACAAGGATACAAATGTTAACACAAAGGTACATGGAGTAATTTTATTGTATGATAATTTACATCCTACAGGTCCTACTTAAAGCACGTAGGATCCCTAAATCTGCCCTGTAATCACTATATTTACACCAGGAAATACAATCTAAAGGATTTCCCAAAAGGATCCAGTTTAACTATGTTGTAAAGTGTCATTTTACCCTTGATCACTGTGCAGCTCTAGGACAGCCTTAATTTAGAAGCAAACAGACCCACAGCAGAACCTTCCCTGCCTCCCGTTCCCATAAGGGAAGCCATCAGGTATCATGTGTGTAAATGTTTATTCCCCTTTCCATAAGTTGCTGTGGAACAACAGGGATGCTGATGGTTGCACTGCTGTCTGGCAGCTTGCAGCTGTGTGCAGGCAAGGATGTTCTTTAAGTACTTCTAGAGCTTGCACGTTAGAGAAGTCATTAAACCCAGGTCTGTCTGCATACAAGCACTCCCTTTATGTTATCCTTAAGCACCATGTTTAAAAAAGATCCCGGGCAGTTTCTTTATCCCCAAATCAATGCTTTTCCACATGGAGATGTTTTAATAAGCTCTGACCTTCCCACGAAACATCGCGTTTATGTTGTGTCAGGTTTTCACTGCAAACCACCTTTCTTCCCCAGCATCGAGCCCTAACGCACAATGAGCCACACGACCAAGGAAGCGAGTTTCAACAGCCGTTACAAAGGCACCATCCGCCTCCTCCCGAGCCCATCGCGTATGAACCTGCCGACTCCCTCCTCGATCCGCAGAGCGATCCCAAGCTCTTCCCGGCTCTGGCCATCGCCAGTTCTTAGCTCCGCTCTCCCAACCCCGGCCGCTCCAAGCTCATTAAGGGATTGGTGCCGCACAGGCGGGACCAGCTGCCGGGTGTCTGTGCCTGTCTCTGCCCTGTGCCACGCCGCTGCAGGAGCTGCAAAGGCTCCGATGGCTCCGGCGCAGCAGCCCCGGTGCAGGGCGGGTTAAGGCGAGCCCCTAACCCCGCCTCCCCCCGCTGCTCCACTACCGGTAACGGCGCTTTCCGCGCCCGGCGGTACCTGCGCGGCGGCCGAGGGCGGCGGCTCCCGCTCATAGAGCGCGGCAGGGGCGCGGGTGCGCGGGTCCAGCGGGGTGCGCAGGCAGGCGGCGGCCAAGCGCGCTGCGCGGTGCCCCGCGTCCATCCCCGCGGGCAGCGCCGGCCGGAGCTGGGGCCCGCTCCGCCCCGCTGGAGGCGGCCCCTTGGGCGGAAGCGGGACCGCTTCATCCGGCCCGGCCCGGCCCCTCTCCTCCGCGGGGCAGCGGAGCCCGCTGGGAGGCGGCAGCAGCTCAAGCCCTTTGCTGCAGTACTCTCCGGGGACAGTGCTGTGGCTTCGTGTCCTCGTCTGCACACTGGGCTTGATTTACGCTGCTGTAGGTGAGTGTGAAGCAGTTTAGTCGGAACTCGCACCTCTCCTTAACCCCCGGTTTTTATCCCCTCAGGTTATGACTCTTCTCCCGTTTTCGTGTGTGCTGCACATAAACGACAACAGGATAAAGGTACATTGGGAGCAGCAGATTTCCACCGCCTCTGCAGAGGTGTTAATGACCGGTGCGCCTATTTATTGCATTGAAATTGCAAATACTTGTTATGTAAAAACACACAGGGAAGGATTGAACCCCACACCCTGGTGGTTGTAAATCTTGTCAAGAACTGGAAGTTTAGTCAAAGTGAACACCTGAACTAGAAGAGATCACTACTGGATGTAATCCTGTGGGGTAAGGTGGTATTTGGGATGCTCATGTTAGATGTATGTAAGTTCTTTACTGTGAGGGTGCTGAGGTGCTGGCACAGGGTGCCCAGAGAAGCTGTGGCTGCCCCATCCCTGGCAGTGTTCAAGGCCAGGTTGGACACAGGGGCTTGGAGCAAGCTGCTCTAGTGGAAGGTGTCCCTGCCTGTGGCAGGGGTTGGAACTGGATGATTTTGAGGTCCTTTCCAACCCAAACCATTCTGTGATTTTAAACAGCCTCTAGTGTGTGGTAATTCATGCACAGCAGTAATGCCTAAATCATCTATTTATTAGTATTTGAATTATTCTGAGTGTTCCACTTAACTAAGTCATAGGAAAGTGCTTCAACAGTAGCCGGTCAGCAAAGTGGTGGAAGTTTACTCAAAACACACAGATCCAATCCATCATAAATGAGTGATGGAATGCGAGTTGAATCAGAGTCTATGAGAGAAATACTGTCCTTCATAGAGAGGCATCTGGTCATCTCAGTACAGCAAGAATGAAAAGGTCAATTCAAACTTTCAGATGGGGTTTTCCTGGACAGAACTGGGAGCTGACCACCATGGTGCTGGAAGCAACCAAAGGAACCGTTATGGCTGTTCCAGGCAGATGCAGCCATTATCATCCCAAAGTGATTTCAAATAAATCCCTGTAACTACAGTAATACCATCCCTGCCTTTTCAGAACCAAGCTCAGTTTTGACCCTTGCACTCTGCTGCTTGATGCAGTACAAAAAGCTGCGTGTGAAGACAGCCCTGTGTGATGCTCTGGGTTGTCAAAGGTCATTCCAGACCTCAGCAGTGACCAGAGCAAGGAATGCGATGCTGTTCTGAAGTGCCATCACTGCAGACACTCCCTTGTTCAAGCCAGGCATAGGTAAGGGAAATGAACCCACTGCAGTACATGTTACCAGAGTGTAAGTTCGAGGGTGTCTTTAGAATCTATTACAAGAGCTAATTACTCACTGTTAAACTTTCCAGAGCTAAAGCAGGACCATGTAGCACAGAAAACCAAATCTAACAAATTTATCTTATTTCTGGCAAAATGAGAAAGCAAAGCCTCTGGTAGACTACTGCATGTTTATTGACAAACAGCATTTCCTCTTCCAAACCAGATTCTTACTGTTTTAAATTAACCTCCTGAAAGCACACAAGCCTTTGTGGACTTAAAAGACCATTCACACAGGCGCTTGTGGTGAGGAAACCATATTCCAGACTAGAGGGAAGGAGCTCAGGACACAGACCCCACGTTCCTCGTTCAGCTTAGCCTCGAGTGTTCACCTGCAAAGGACAGTTCACACAGTCAGGAGTGAGAAGACCATGGGGTAACTGGAACAAATACTTCTCTGCCTGAAGACCCTGGGTTTTCAGTCACTTTAACTCTTCATTTTAAAGCACAGTGTATATAATGCATTTCACTTTGTTACAATTGCAGTTATTAGACTATTTGGCCTTCTAAGTAGCACATAAACTAAGACTAATACACAGGAAATCTATTTCAAAGCACAGTAAATTAGATAATAACTATTCTGGTGATTACACAAAACTCAATGCAAACACTCCTCACCACATCATCGATCTTCAGGATGCTGCGCACGGTTTCTGTCGCCAGAGTCAGGGCACTCAAGGACACGAGCAGTGGCTGCACAACCAGCTCCTCCAGGATGTTGGAAATGCCACCCTATGAGAACAAGCAGCTTTTACTGTGTGCAAGTCACTGCAGTGAGATTCAGTGAGTTTGCTTTTAGTAGAAGCCCCAGAAAGACAGCCAACTTGAAATCAGACTTGTATCAAGGGGCTCAAGCACTCAACTCCTGTTGAGGATGGAAGATGCGTACATGGGGGGTACATTATGGTATGCACCTTCTCTCCCCGGGCATTTGACAGCCAGCCATAATCAGCCAAGAGGAAAGACACAGTTAAGCCAGCTTAAACATGGTGGCAGTTCGAAAGAAGCCAGACCACTGTCTTCCTCCTAACACACACACACACACACACATAACTGGACGAGCTTTAAGATCCCTTCCAACCCAAACTATCCTGTGATTCTATATCCATTCCAAATATATCTATTTTCATAGGTGAAACAATGCTTTTGAAGAGAGACAGGAGGTTTCTTATTCCACAGGTACAACATTTAAAGTATCTGCTATTACCAATACTCTGATAAGCTGTTACAGCCTCAGAAAGCAAGCCATGATCTCCCCCAACACTCATTTTGGGGAGAACACCATTAATGAGATCCAGACCTGCCTCTCTCAGTCCAGCCCCAGTGCGGAGCATTTTAACGCCCAAGTAGTTCTGTAGCCACGCTATGCACACACAACTCCTGGTCACCTTTCTGACATTGATGCCAGCTGTTTTCTCCCCTTGGGCGTGCCTGTTTCTCAGCTCTGTCACTGTCGAGATGGGGTTGAGACCTGCATTTTCAGCCAGTGTTGAGGGGATGACTTCCAGCGCTTCTCCATAGGCACGGACGCAGTAAGCATCCATGCCCCGCAGCGTGCGAGCATACTCATTCAAGCGCAGCGCTAGCTCTATCTCAGGGGCTCCCCCTCCTGCAATCAAAGCTCTGTGGACAGAAGTGAAAACCAAACCTCAGCTCATGTAAGCGCACCTCGATTAGCTGTCTCTGTTATTAAATTACTGATTAACCGAATGCAGATGTTACCTTTTCTTAACTAAGCATCTTATGACACACAGGGCATCGTGAATTGAACGCTCGGCTTCTTCTAGAACGAGTTTGTTGGATCCACGTACCACGATGGTCACGGTTTTCCCAGGGTTTGTGCAGCCTGTGATCTGAAACATAAAACCAACTCTGAAGGCTAAATCTGGAGAAGGCTCTTTACCAGGGCCTGTAGGACAGGACGATGGAGAGTGGCTTTAAACTGACAGAGGGGAGATTTAGATTAGACATTAGAAGTTCTTCCCTGTGAGGGTGCTGAGGTGCTGGCACAGGAAGGTGTCCCTGCCCATGGCAGGGGGTCAGGACTGGAGGTGCAAAACCACTCCACCACTGTACTTCCCGAGTCAGTGGTTACTCAGGGATTAGAAGTAGGTACTTCAATGTAGTAATTTCAGCAGTAAAACCCATAAAAGTTAGCAGATGTTACTAAAGTAGTTGGCAGATGTTAAGCAAGCATTAACACTCTCACCTTTACCAGCTTCCCAGAACCGTTCAAGTTGACCTCCTCTGCCAGCTCAGCAGACCCCAGCATGTCAGGAGTGAACTGGTCAATGTGAGCAACAGGCTTAGTTCCAATGGTCTGAAACGGGAGAAACAGTAATCAGAACTTGACTGCAGAGTCAGCAAATGACCTGTGTAATGTTCCTCTGCGTACTGGGCCCAAATGCAGTCGGGACTGTGGCTTTTACATCTGTCCTGAATCTTTCCAGAAGTGTGACTGCTCAACAGAACAGGAATGGGTTTTAGGGAAAAGTCTGCTCTTATGTTATAGGCAGAACATGAAACTTGTAAAACTGTCATAATAAACTGGCACTGGCCAAGTACTTAGTTTTGGGGTAAACTTTAACAGCCACTTTATAACTCACTTTACCTTACATATAAACTCAATGTCATCTCTTTCAATTTCTTTAACCACCATGATCTTCATTTTGTTCAGGAAATGAAGGGCTAGGTCACTGAGAGCATCCCTACAAACAAGAGGGAAGTAGTCAGTTCGCAGTGCTTTTTTAGTAGCTGGTCTACCAGCAGTGCTAAATTCTTCAAACTACAAAGTAGGGATGTCATTAAACTCAAAATACAGACACCATCACTGCTTTCTGAAGGTGCTGTCACCATTATAGCCAGTCTGACACTCTGCCAAGTGTGACTGTTAGTACTGGGCTTCAATTTTCCAGGTATTCCAAACAATTCCAGCTGCTCCCCCCAACACATGCACCAAGCCAGTACACTGGTATTAACATACCGCAGAATAGACTTCTGGATCAGCAGTACGTTGCATCCAGCCTTCTTAATCTGCTTAACTAAATTTAGGATATA